CTTGAAGAGAGCAGTGCAGAGGGGCTTGAAGTTCCTCTCCAGAGATCAGGCTGTGTACAGCCTTGGCATGAGGGCCTGGAGGTTCTGCAGCCTATGCACGGACTTGGGCTCCAGCCTCACCCAGCCATCCAGTCTGTGTAATCCTGGGAAGGTCACCAGACTTCTCAGAGCTGAGCTGGGCAGATCCATTTCCACCTCTGCAACTGGGACTGAAGTGTAGCTTGCCAAGGGGTCCGGATTAATGAGATATAGGGCCTGATATAGGGCTAGCAGGTGGCCTTATTGTTAGCATTACTATTGCTGGATCTCTCCTGTCTGAAGTGAGGTACCCTGCAGTACAGTGGTTAGGAGCGCAGGAGCCAGACCTGATGGGTTCATATTCTGACCCCATCTCTGACTGATTCTATTTTTTTGTTTGTTTTTTTTTTTTCTTCCTGTACCAGGAATCGAACTCATGACCTTGCACTTGCCAGGCAGGTGCTTTGCCACTGAGCTACATCCTCAGCCCCTCAGACTGACTCTAAGTCTTTGGATGCTTCTTTAAGCCTCTTTTTCCTCATCTATAAAATGGGAAGCAAAGTCCCTCCCTGGTTTTGAGGATGGAGCAAGACGTGCACATAGTAGATACTCCAGTGTTAGACATCCCTGCTATTCCTTCTCCTGGAATGGGGTCAGGAGAGCAGGGTCCCCACCTGTCTCCCACCCTGTCCCCCCAGGTCATCCAGGGTGAGTGAGCAGGTTTCTCAGCAGGTTTCTAGAAGGTTCGGTAGAAGCCCTGCCTGAGCCCCACCAGTGGAGGTGGCTCCTGCCTTTGTTCCCCCCACAGAACATGTCTGGGTGCCTCACAGGTGGCTTCAAGGGCGGGTGAGAGCTATGGCGCAGGGTAGGACCCTGAGATGCACAGCTTCGGCACCGCTTGCTGAGTGCCTGTGCCTGAGGCTGCAACCCATTCCGTCCTCTTCTGGACACAGGTGTGCTGTCTCCTGCTCGGGCTGCCCTCCTGCCGGCTCTCTGCCCATCAGCCAGGAGGAGCTTTTAAAAGGTGCCTCTCCTATTGGAAACACTCCCCTGAAGAACCCTTTACTGTGGCCCCCGAGATCCCGGCCAGTTCCCAGCCTGCTTCCGGCCTGGGACACCTAGCACCTGCGTTCCTTCCACCCGGAACCATCCTCCTCCTTGACTGCGCTTCTCCCCGCTGACTCCTCCTCTATCTGGCTGCTCCTCTGTGTGGTCTGTTGTGGACACACTCTGCACATTGTTGCCCTCGCCTATGTTTTCCTTCACCTCACAGCTCTTGGTCCGGTGGCTCATCCCAGTCTGCGACTCTGAGGACGGGACAGTGTTAGGTCAGCCAGGACGGGCTGCTCTGGGATGCAGGACAAACATCCCCAGATCTGAGTGGCCCAGTGATAGTGAGGGACCTATTCTTGCTCATTCCCTTGTTCCTTGCAAGTCTCCAGTGAGGTTTCTGCTCATGGTGGTCACTCAGGACCCAGGCTGGTGAGGGGATGGTTGCCCCCCGTGGAACATTGCTAGCTGTTGGCCAAAGCAGAGAACCTGAGGGTATCTTGCTGTGGCATTTCAATGCTTTCACAGCCTCTTGGGGCAAACAGCCCACTCCCCAGCTTATTGCTTCTTCTCCTTTTTTTTTTTTTTTTGGTCTTTTTGAGACAGGGTCTCACTATGCAGTTCAGGCTGGCCTCAAACTCGCCACAATTCTCCTGCCTCAGCCTCCCAAGTGCTGGGATTACAGGTGTGCACCACCATGCCCAGAGCAGCTCATTGCCTCTTTTCCCTGCTCTGAGGCTAGGCCTGGTTTTGCATTCTATACCCTCCCCCAACCTTGTCACTCTTTCTATCTCAGTGGCCACCACCCCCACCAATGTGTGTCTGTTTTAGTGCTGGAAATGGAACCCAGTGCCTGGCCCACATGGTAGGCAAGTGCTCCACCATCAAGCTACATCCCCAGTCTTTTTTATTTTATGCTGACACAGGGGCTTGCTAAGCTTCTCTGGCTGGCCTCTAACTGGCAGTCCTCCTGGTTCAGCCTCCAAAGTATCAGCATGCCTAGCTCCACCAGTTTTTTTTTTTTCCTGGTACTAGGGTTCAAACTCTTAAGTGCTCTGCCACCAAGCTACATCCCCAGTCCTTTTAAATTTTTATTTTTAAGACAGAGTCTCACCACCAATAAACGGGACCGAGTCACTCCCACCTTAAACTTCTCTTCAGCCACATTACCTGCTGCTCCCTCCCACACATTAGTCTCCCATTCATGGGTAAAATTCGTGAGAAGATAGTTAAAATTTTCTGCATTTTTAAACATCCACGTTTGCCTTCCTCCGGTACAGTTTCTGCCTCTACACGCACTCCAAAAAGATTTTCCGGGACACCGGTTTTCAGCTTTCACTGCATGTTTTAAAAAAGTAAATTTGAAAAAAAAAAAAAAAAAAAAAAACCAGCTATAGTTCAATGGTAGACACTAGCCTGGCATGCCCAGGGCACCGGGCTCAATCGCCTCACCACAAAATACACACACATACTGGAGCCTGGGCCCACCCCAGTGACTGTGATGTAACTAGTCGGGTGGGACCCGGGCATCGGTGGGTCGAGAAACACCCCAGGATCCCAGTGTCTTTGTTCTTAGACCAAGGGGTGTCTTTCTGCCCTCTCACCCTTGACCTGGCAGGGCCTGGCTCTATGAATTTCCTGGGGTTGCTGCAACAAATAACCATGCACTGGGTGGCTTTCAACTCCAGAAATATAGTCCCTCGCAGTTCTGGAAGCCAGGAGTCCAAAGTCACGGTGCTGGCAGGGCCGTGCTCCCTCTGAAGGCTTGGGGATATCTGTTCATTGCTCTCCCAACTTCCGGTGGCTCCAGTTATTCTTGGCCTATGGCCACATGGCTCCCGTCTCCGCCTCTGTGGTCATGTTGCTGCTTCCTGGGGCGGGGTGTATGCACGCGTGCATGCGCATATGTACATGCATGTGTGCGTGTGTGTGTGTGTGTGCCGTCTCAAAACTGTCTGCCTCTGTTGTAAGGATGTAAGGTTTCATTCAGGTTCCATCCAGATAACCAGGACAGACTCTTCCTCTCAAGATTTCCAAGGATCACATTTTTTGCTTTACACGTAAGTCCATACTTACAGGTTCTGGGAATCGAGCTGTAGACAGCTTTGGGGGCCGCTGTGGAGCCCACGCTGCTGACACGGTGGGGCACCACTCCTCCCTGACACCTGACGGCCCTGCCTCTGCACACAGCACCCCTGCCCCTTGTACCGTCTGGCCGCTGTCCTCCAGGCTCAGCCTTCCCTGCTTGGCCCCTGAGCGACAGCACAGGCCAAAGCCTGGTCCTAGGCCTGGCCTCGCCTCCCTTGACAAGCTTTCCCTCAGTGACTCCTTCAAGAGCCCAGCTTCAGGCCACAGTGCTACACCCATAGCCCTGTTTATGTCCCCGCCTGGCTCTAAAGACAGCTCTAAATGCTGGCGTCGCTCTGTCCACCACTCCCTTTTAATAACTAAAATCAAGTCACTCCTACATCCCTGTCTTTTGTTATCCTTTATGACTTGGTCCTCTTCCAGTGCTCTGTCTCAGGGAATCACCCCCTACCTGAATCTAACCAGAAATGTCATTTTTTGGGGGGGTGGTACTGGGGATTAAACCTATGATCTTCACACTGAGCTACATCCCCAGTCCTTTTTAATTTTTTTTTTTAATCTTGAGACAGGGTATTGCTAAGCTATCCAGGCTGAGCTCAAACTTGCAATCCTCTTACCTCAGCCTGCCCAGTGCTGAGATTACAGGAGTGTGCCACTGTACCCGCTTTGTACATTTATTGATATGACATTTACCTGGTGCCTCTGCCCTTTGATGGACTGTATGTGCTACAGGAATGAGATTTTGTCCCTTTTTTGTTACCTCTGTGTCCCTAGCACCCAGCAGGGGCTCCATAATTGTTTGTCAAATGAAAGACTTATGGTTGACACGTATTTTGCATTTTGCTATGTGTGCAGTGCTCCGTGGCCATGTCACTGATCATGAGAGTCCTAGGAGTCCTAGTCCTAGGCTATTTCCCCATTTGACAGATGAAGACACTGAGGCATGGGAAGTCGAGAGACTTTCTCCAGGCCACACTGGCAGTGGGTGAAGGAGCCAGGATGCTGGCTTGTACTCCTTGGTGATGCTCTAACCGTGATATAACCCTGCCTCTTGCTGGGTCCTCTCTTGCCCCGGGAGGGTTAAGGATTAGAAACAGGAGATTCAGGGAGATGAAGTCACTTGCTCCAGATCACACAGCTGGTTAGCAATTCCCAGGGCTGCAAGCTTCGGTGCTCCAATGCTGAGAGTATTTTGAGAATCCAGTAAATCCTTGGCCACTTGGGAATTGAAGTGATGCTGTGAAGAAGCCCAACAATGAACTTGACCCTGAGCCCGGGAGGGAGGACTTCTCTGCACCTGTCCTCTGGAAGGTTGCAGGGCAGATCTGACTGCCCTGAGGTCCTGTCCATGGGAGGCCTTGGCATCTCTTCCTTGCCAGCCCCCACAGGAGGCAGCTCTTGTGGGTGCTCCCAACAGCCCCTCTTCCCATTCAGGCAGCCAACTTCCTCATCTGGAGCTTTGGCTGGCTTCATGGTGACAGCATAAGCTTTGGAATTGGGCTTGGGTCAGAATTCTGGTTCTTCCCTCCTCAGCTGTGGTTAAGAGCAAAGGCATGGGGTTGGGTTCTCGCTCCCATTACTTGGCTGCTGTGTGGCTTTGGACAAGATACTTAACCACGCTGAACTTCCATGTCCTCAACTGCGAAGGAGATGGATGGAGGTAACAGCTGAACCTGTCCCACTGGTGAGGATTAAACAAGACAGTGTGTGGAGTTTAGTGAAGTGTGTGCGGTAAGTGTCCACAGGAAATGGCAGCGAGTTGTCCTCACAGCTAATATTAACGTTAATCCCCAAAAGGCCCCTCAGACACCCATGGGCATCTCTCTCCTCTCTGGCCCCTGCAGGTGGAGCTGCACGTCCACCTGGATGGAAGCATCAAGCCCGAAACCATCTTGTACTTCGGCAAGTAAGTCCACAGACAGAAGCCGCCTCCCTGGGGTTGGGTGGAGCTCCTCAGAGGCCCCTGAAGAATCCCACGGTTACTGCTCCCTCCTGCGTCCCTGCTGAAATCAAGCCAGCCCCTGGCTTGAAGGACCCTGGCCTCTGTGGGTGGAGGGAGAGCCTGGGGCCGCCCGGTCGGGGAGATGAGCCATCCTGTCCCCGCTCCCAGGGGACAGCGCCCTGCACTCATTGTCTGGAGCTGGAAGGACTCGGCCTCGCCCATTGTCTTCAGAGGGTCAGCTCTGGCCCCAGTTTAAACATTCTTTTCCATGAGCCAGAATCCCTTCGGGTGTCTAGACACCTGCCCCTCGGGAGAGAACCAGTGATCCTGGGGTGTTTGTCCCCAGCTTGGGAGCATCTCTCCCAGCTGCCTGGGAGTTCTGGGGAGTACACTTTCCTCCTCCTCACTGCACTTCCAGCAACCTTTTCCTACCTGCTGGCAGCTGCTGTTGATGTACACTTGTTTAGCTGTGTAACATAAGCACGTTGTCATTGACTGGGTCACACACCCCTTTCTGGGCTTCGCCTGGGTTAACCCAGTGAGTCCTCACACCAGCTTGTGGGCCAGGCCACTCCCCCATCTGCTTGACAGATGAGCAAATGGAGCCATGACACTGGAGTCACTTCACTTACCCAGTGAGCACAGGGCAGATGTCTGAGCCCAGGAGGTGTGGCCAGAGTCCGTGTCCCTAACCATTACCCACACGGCCAGAGGTTTCACGAAGTCTGCTTAGCTCAGGCCTAGAGTGCATTGGGTGCATCATAAACATCACCTAGTGATAATATTATTAAGAAGCCCCCATGACTCAGGTAAGGAGGTGAAGCCTTGGGCCTTATCTCTGCCTGTCCTTTGCCCACTTGGAGTAAGCAGCTGCTGCCACAGGGCCCCTTCAAGGTCATTAGGGTGTAACCTCGAAATGGGATCTAATCTCAGGGTGTTGATGGGTCATAAAGCGCTCATGAGTGGGAACAAGGAGGTGATAATGTCCAGGCTGCAGCAGAGGAGAAGGGCAGGGAGCTGCCAGCATGGAGCAGCTGGCCTGATTTTCCCTTTCTGGGCCACCTCAGTTGGCCCTGGAAGAAGCTCCAGCTGGAGTTTGCCCTGGGGTCACCAGGCGGCCAACTCAGATATGGGTGCCCGCAAAGATGCGAGAGGGCCAGTCAGCAGTGGGGAGGGGGCCTGGCCTGTGGCTCCCAGGCCGATCCAGTGGCCTTCTTTCTGTCTCTGTCTGTTCTCTTGCTCCTTCTGCTCAGGTTCCCCCAGTCTCCTTCATGACCCACTCCTCTGGCCACCCTCACCTCTGGCCACCGCCCTGCTCTGAACCTGGACGTAGCCTCCTGCCTGTCTGCAGACTGTGTCCAGGGGTCCTCTCAGACCTCCCCTTCTGCGGGTGCCAGGCTGGAGTCAGGGCCACTGTCTTCAGACATAGCCTGGCAGCTCATTCCCTTTGGGGCCAAGGCGCTGCCTTAGGAGAGCCTGGGTCAGGCTGGCCAGCAGCTGGAGGCTCAGCTGGGGCCCTGGCGAGCACTACGCATCTCTCTGCCCTCTGTGCACCATGGTGCAGCAGAGGCGCCGTTTCTGCCGTGGGGTCTTGCAGGGGTGCGGGCCTGATAAGGCACCACAGCTGGCCGGCTGGCAGACTGATGGGTACCACAGTGACCAGTTAATGCCCTTCATAAAGTCCAGGCTGCCAGATATGGAAGGAGGCATACTAGTGGCTTAGGAACCGACATTTATGTGGGAAAACTGTTTTTGTTTTGTTTTGTATTTTGCTGTGCTAGGACCGAACCCAGAGCCCCACGTATGCTAGCCAAGTGCTCTACCACTAAGCCACATCCCTCCCTCCCTGCTCCTGAATGTTCCCTTTTTAAAAAGGGGCATTCTTATTTCAAGGATGCAATGTCTTTCCATCTCCTTGAGGCGACTCACTTTAGGTTTAAAGTTCTCCTCTCCGTATTTTTCCTCAACGTGCCTTTTGCTATTTCTAATTTTGTGCCCCGTGTCAGGAAGCATTTCTTTGCCTGTCCCTTTTATCTTGAAAGTAGAGAAACTGAGGCCCAGAGAGACCACCCTTGTGAACCAGAGCCTGGCCAGGATGGGAGGAAGACGCAGGGGCGTTTGCAGAAGAGGAAGCCACAGAGCTGCACCCTGCTTCCTGTGGCCCAGGGCGCAGCAGAGACACCCGGGAGGCGAGGAGCGCTCCAGGCCGGAGTGTGATCGCAGCAGGCCTTGCTGAGTGTTGCCATGACCCAGTCTGAGTCAGGGGCTTAGGGCAGGGAAGGGACAGAGCTCTGAGAGGGGTAGGCAGCTTACCAGGCCTACTCCAGAGCTGCCACCCTGCCCTCTCACAGCACGCTGGGCTGTGGGGCTGCTTTGGTAAGACAGACGGAAGGAGGGCGGAGAGGGCTGTCCTGGCGCCATCCTGTGCTTCAGGAATTGTTACGCTGCAGTTAATTCCCCGATAACCCCTGCCAGGGCGCAAGACCAGCTGGCTCTGCACACTCCCAGGGCTGAGGAGGAAGTGATGAACTTGCCCTTACACTTCCCCCGTCTCAGGCATCAGCACTGTGTGCTGCATTCACACAAAGGGACTTCAACCCCTGCTGCTCCCCTCTGCTGCCCTTGAGATCTGCTGACTCATCATGGCTTAGGCCCAGCAGGTCCTGGAAGGATTACATCCTGGCTGCACAGCCCTGGACCTCAGTGTTCTCATCTGTCCAAGGGGAGGAGTTGGATGGAAGGATCCCATGTTTTCCACTGGGGCTTAGCTCTGTCCATCTACCCTACTAGGATGTCTGGATCTTCCCTGAGCTGTTTCTCTACTCTCTCGGTTCTGTTTCAGGAAGAGAGGGATCGCCCTTCCGGCTGACACAGCGGAGGAGCTGCAGAAGATCATCGGCATGGACAAACCAGAGTCCCTCCCGTACTTCCTGTCCAAGTTTGAGTACTACATGCCTGCTATCGCGTGAGTTGGCCCCAGTGCTCAGCTCCTGGGACAGCCGTGATCCCTGCGACTAGGGCCAGGCGTGGGGGTTTGCAGAGGGCGCTGGAGAAGCTGCATGGCCCTTTGGGAGTCTGAGAGTGACCTCCGCAGCCCCAGGCCATCATTATACGTCAGACAGAGCCCTTTGGCCTGGGTAAACCGAGGTCCACAGAAGATAGAGTCAGAGGCAGAGCAAGGCATGGAGCTGGGGGGTCTCCTGCCTCCCAGTTCAGGGCTTCATGTTGTGAGGGGAGAGGAGGTGAGCCTGAATTCTGGGGGTGGCGAGAGGGAGGAGGCTCAAGGTTCTTTCATCCCTGTCTTAAGTCAGTGGATGGGGAACACCGGTAGGTCCTGGGAAGGCCCAGAAGTGGGCATGGGGTGTGCTGGAGGGAAGTCTCAATGACTGCCCCAAACTCCCCAGTGTCTGCTTGGGTCTCTCAGAGAAAACTCAAGGACCCTGATGCCCTGGTATCATGTGCACAGGGCGCTCTGGGCCCTCATCTCCTGACCCTCATCCTCATGGAGCCCCTCTGCACACCCCACTGCCTAGAATGCTGTTCCTATAGAAGTAATGCTGTTCCTTCACAGCTCTGAAGAAGGTCTCTTCCTCAGCAAAGCCTTCTCTGACCATGCTATCGAACATTTCAGCTGCCCCCTGCTTTGTCTGTAGAACTTGCCACACCTGACCTACCATCCATCTCCCCTCATTGCTTCCTGTCTCTCTTGCTAGAAGGTGGGCTCTGTGAAGGCAGGATCCTGCCTGCCATAGTGCTCGGTGCCCCCTTGGGGAACACAGGAGTCCATAGCTGAGGGGACACAAGGGCAGCTGGGAGTGAGGGAGATGCAGGAGCACTGTCCTCGCTGGGATGGGGCTGAGCCCAGGCTCCAGGGCTGTCCCACCCCTAGGAAGGCAGCATCCTCCACCCAGATCCCAGAGACCCAGGCACTTCCAGTGACAGCCCTTCGGGGTGGCCAAATCCCCAGGGCTGGGCAGGTTTTGCACCCAGTGCTCGTGGAACACTTGCCTGCCTTCGCTCACATTCTACTCAACATTCTGTTTCCACCATTTGTGGTGGAAACCTCCCACTAGGTAGAACCCACGAGCACCTGGCAGGTCAATTTATGGCAACCCTCCAGGGGCTAACCCTCAGAAACAATGAAAATACTTTTAGCTTTTGTTGGCTGTGCTCCAAACACTGGCCATTTATTTAGCTCATTTGTCCTCATAATCCTTTGAGGTGGGTGTCAGAGAGGGTGACTGACTAACCCAAGGTCACACAGCAGGTAAGTCTGTGAGTGAGTCCCAGGTTCCTTCAGCCTAGTCCCATTGGATTTAAATTTCTGCACCCATGTCTCTCTCTCTGCCAGTCAGAAGTGGGTCTGATCTGCTGAGGGTTGGGGACAGCCTCATTTGCTCCCGGAGCTCCCAAGGGCCTTAAAGAAAGTTGTCCCCAACCACTTTCTTCCATTCCCAGGGGCAGCAGGGAAGCCATCAAAAGGATCGCCTATGAGTTCGTGGAGATGAAGGCCAAGGAGGGCGTGGTGTACGTGGAGGTGCGCTACAGCCCGCACCTGCTGGCCAACTCCAAAGTGGAGCCAATCCCCTGGAACCAGGCCGAGTGAGCGACACCCCTGAGGCGGGCTGTGCTGAGGGTGTGGCTGGGCGGGGCAACCCTGAGACCAGAGACGCTGGCCCATGGCCTCATCTGGTCCACGGCCTCGGAAAGATGGGTTTAACTTGGCCGTAACAGTGTGGCTCCCTCCCTCACCCTGTTCTCACTCGGGGCAAAGGTGCGTGGCTGTGCTTCCTGGCCCAGAGCTCTGGGTACAGGCCTGCTGCCTGGGAATGTTAACCGCTTAAGCAGCGACCTCTAAGGGTCCTGCTCAACCCTGCAGCTGAAGTGAGGCTGGCCTATTCCTGCTCCCTGCCTAGAGCCCTGGATGTGGAAGTAATAGCACCAAGACCCCCCCACACTCACCTCCACAGCCAGATTCTGGTCCACCTGGGAGTGGCCTGAGCTGTCACGCTCTCCATGCAGGGTGGGAACACTGGCTCCGCCACCACTACACACTGGCATCTAGAACGAGGCTGGTGGGGATGTGCCAAGGCTTGGGTCATCTGTCTCTCCACAGAAGAACTGGGTCAGTGGAGCAGCTCAGTGCTCCCTTTGCTCAGTCCCATCCCTTCTCCCGTCCCTACACAGAGGGGACCTCACCCCCGACGAGGTGGCAGACCTCGTGAACCAGGGCCTGCGTGAGGGGGAGAAAGCCTTCGGCATCAAGGCCAGGTCCATCCTGTGCTGCATGCGCCACCAGCCGGGTGAGTATGCTCACCAGCTGCCCAACTGCCTCCGGCCCCAACCTGCTGTGCTGGCCTGGCCAGAGGCTGTGCCTGATCTGCCCATGGTGTCCCCGAGCACATCGGCAGGATCCTGGGGCTTCCTGGAAACACCAGAGGCCTCTTGGAAAGGCTCTGACCTTCCCGGTGACACTCTTGACAGCCATATGGTCTACAGGAAGCATAAAGCCAAGGCAGCCTGAGCAATTGAAACCATCCAAGCCCACTTTCCCTGTTAGCCCACACAGCCCATGCTTAGGTCTGACTTCTGGGGTTGGCGAGGGGTCTCCCTTGTCACTGACACTGATCATATGCTGAGGGCTTGAGCTTCTTGTGGCAGACCCCACTGTGTGACACTGGGCAAGTCATGCCACCTCTCTGAGAGTGTCACAGGAGAATCACCTCCCTCTGCTACCCTAAGAATCAGGGGGAACCAAAGCCAGAAGCTGATGCTAACCTACATACCCATTCGGGAAGTAACTGGTGTGCATCTCCTCCCACCCTTGTGGCAGCCTGTGAGGTGGGATTACCACTGTTTAACCACATTTGACAGATGGGGAAACCGAGTAAGGAAAAGGTGAAGCCTCGTGCTTCTCTGTCAGGGAAACACAAAGCCTTGGTTTGAACCTGGGACCAGCTGGCTCTAAACCCTGTGCTTACTCATTCTATGTAAATAGGTCATAATAACTTTATGGGTTAGGAATGTATAACACCTTAGTAATACCCTTAGCAATCCCAGCCTGTTTTAGTTAAGTTCCATTTCCTTACCTTCTAAGTGGGGGGAAGCCACCTAGGGGCTGCTGCAGGAACTGAGTGAGGAAACACCCCATGTGTCACTCATTGGGCCAGGCTCCACCCTTTGTGACACACACACACACACACACACACACACACACACACACACAGCCTTGGCAAGACCTCGTCTTGACCCTGTGCTACAGTAGTGGTGGTGCCCCCACTGGGAAGGCAGGGTTCTGAGGCTGTGGGCAGAGCAACCGGCCAAAGGCCATGTGGCTAGGACTTGGCAGTCGGTCTGAAGACCAGACACTGGACTGTCTTGCACTGGGGGGTCATGCGACATCGATCGGGGGACTGGGAGGCCCTGCTGCATGGTGCTGCTGATAGAGCCCTGGCGGGCATCTCGCCACAGAATGGTCCCCTGAGGTGGTGGAGATGTGTAAGAAGTACCGGCACCAGGGTACGGTGGCCATGGACATGGCTGGCGACGAGAACATCCAAGGCAGCAGCTACTTCCCGGGGCACCTGGAGGCCTACAAGGTGGGGCCCCTGGGACGGGGGGACTGGCCACTGGAGAGTTTGGGGAGAACTCTGCTGGACAGGGAACATGGGCCTCTTGAGTTCCCAGTGTGTCTGGTTGCGTGTGGGGGCTCAGAACTGGGTATAAAGAAAAGCCCCTGAATTTGAGGTACAGTGGTGCAGACCCATAATCCTAGCACTTGGGAGGCTGATGCAGGAGAATGAGTTCAAGCCCAGCCTGTGTCAAAAGAAAAAAGAAAGGGAGGGACGGAGGGAGGGAGGAAGGAAGGAAGGAAGAAAGGAAAGAAGGAAGGCAGGAAGGAAGGAACAAAAGAAGGAAGGAAGGAAGGAAGGCCCGCCTCCACATGGTGCGGCGTGTGGTGCTGGGAATCCCGTGCTTGAGGCTGCATCTGCCTATGATATGCTGTGTGCCTTTAGGTGAGGCTGTCTGTTCTCTGGGCCCATTTCCAAGGTCCCACACACTTCCTGTTTGGTGTCTGTCCTGTTACTTAACTTTCCTGAGCCTCAGCTTCCTGTGCTATAAAATGTTGTAACACTCACGCCTGTTTGACACTGTATGCAAGCCACCTCAGAGCCTGACACATAGCAACTGCATAATAAGGGACAGCTACCACTTAGGTCCTGAGCAGGCCAAAGCAAGGCCACACTGCCCCGTGCTGTTAAAGCAGCCTGGCCTGATACAGGGACAGCCCAAGCTGCCAAAACTCAGACCCCCGTGTGGCAAAGGCAGGGCTTGCCCCTGCTCACGCCGGGGCCACCCTGACCTGGCTCTTTCCCTTCCAGGAGGCAGTGAGGAGCGGCATTCACCGCACCGTCCATGCCGGGGAGGTGTGCTCCCCAGAGATCGTGCGCGAGGTGAGGAGCTGCTGGCTGAGAGCCTCTGCGCCCTGCTTCCTTGGACCCCTCTTCTCACTTTTGTTCTCCTCTGCCTCTCCACAGGCTGTGGACGTACTCAAGACGGAGAGGGTGGGGCACGGCTACCACACCCTGGAGGACGAGGCCCTTTACGCCAGGTTACGGAAGGAAAACATGCACTTCGAGGTGAGGGCCAGGGGAACCGTCCCTGGCTGTGTCCACCCCACCCCTGCAGGTCCCCTAGCAGGAGCAGGCAAGTCCTGAGGGAGCGGCCAGCTGGGGTCCAAGTGCAAGGTGTGGAGGGCTCAAGGGACTCAGCAGAGGCCTGTGCAGCCCTGGCAAGAATAGCATTGCAACAGTTGGCCTGGCCACCGCGGGGCTTGGGGAGAGGAGGCCGTGCCAGCCACACCCTGCTCTTGCAGGTGTGTCCCTGGTCCAGCTACCTCACAGGCGCGTGGAAGGCGGAAACGGAGCACCCAGTGGTTCGGTGAGTTCTGCGCCCCGGGGACCCGTTCAGTTCTATTCCAGCGAAGCCAAGTGTGAGGAGCAAACGCAGGGACAGGGCACTGGCCCAGGCTGGGTTTGTCAGTTATGAAACCTACCTGCGCAGCAGGCATTGCTGTCCTTATCCCACAAATGAGAGCAAAGCTCAGAGCTACATGATTGACATGCCCCACCTACTAACCAGCAGGTCTGGTGGCCCTATAGCCCATTCAGCACAGCAGGATGTCCTACTGTCCCGAGGGAAATGTCCACACTCCTCATTTTCTCAAGTCTACCCGCTGGGCTTCTGAAAGATGAATCTCTTGTGTGCCTGTGTGGTCTCTCCTCCCAGTGCCATCTTAGAGCTTTCCCCTGGAGGGCCTCTCCCACACCTGCTCCCATCCCACAGCCCAACCAGGGCCCAGACCCTCCTTCTGCCCTCTGATCAAGCCCTGGGACAAGGTATCAGGCCTTGGGAGGGCTGAGGTGTATTCCCCTGAAGCAGAGTAAGGACAGCAAGGACTTGGGGTGGGGGTGACCACGGTCGAACCAGTGTGGTTCCGCCTGGCAAGCTTATGTAAGGGCAGGGTCCTCAGGCTGACCTTAGGAACGTGGAACGTGTGCTGCTGGGAGCAGCCCCACTGCAGGTTCTAGGAGGGACACAGGCGCACAGCCCGTGGGCTGGAGAAAGTTTCAAGGGTCAGCTGCACAGACACGATGGCTGAAGAAGAGAAGGTCCCAGAAGATGGTGCAGCATGAGAGCCTATGAGGGCCTAGGATAGAACTCAAAGTGACAGCGGCATTTAAGGGTCAGAAAGAAGAGACATATACATGGAAAGCCAAAGGTGTGGTATCAAAGAAATTGAGGGAAGAAGCTTCAAGAACAGTTAACAGTATCAAATTCTATACGAACAAGACAGTCGCCAGGGACCATGTCGGGAATGGCTTCGTGGTGGTGGTGGGGGGGAAGGCCTGATGCAGCGGGATGGGGAATGACAGGGTTGGGTGCAGGCAGCTCTCGGGAGTGGCGCTGGGAGGGGGAAGGCTAGAGAGGATGGGGGTGGGGGGTGCTGCTCTCCCAGCCTCCCGGAGCTCTCGTTCTCCTTGGCTGTCATGTCAGCGCCCTCCTCTGCCCTTCCTGGCTCTGGGCTGGCAGGATGGGCTCAAGTCTTGCGTTGCTGGTTAGGTGATTTTGGACAGAGCCTGGTGGGTTCGTGAGGATCAAAGTGGGTAGGAGTCAGTGGGCAGTGACGGTCACGGAGGAGTAAAGGGGGCTCTTCTCCCCCTCCCCCTGCCAGGTTCAAGAACGACAAAGTTAACTACTCGCTCAACTCAGATGACCCGCTTATCTTCATGTCTACCCTGGACACTGACTACCAGATGACCAAACGGGACATGGGCTTTACTGAGGAGGAGTTTAAGCGACTGGTGAGTGGCGTGTTGTTGCCCTGACTCCTGGCCACAGGGGTAAGAGGCTTGCAGGTCACATCCAGGTCTTGGAGCCTAGGAGACCTGGAGTGCATCAGGTAGACAGCCCAAGTCTGGCCAAGCACGGCATCAGACATCTTCCACAGAGGACGCCATAGTGCTCGTGTCCTGACTGAGGGCCAGTGGTTTAGCTTTTGCTTTGATCTCGCACACTTGAAGGACCCCTCGCCCCGGAAAGGTGTGCCCGGCTATGAAAATCTGCACCCTTCAGGCCACTCCTAGATCCCAGGCTGAGTGTTTGATCTTGGGTTATGCTGAGTCAGCTCCCGCAGGACTCTCTGCCCACACACCCACCTCTCACAAAGCCTGGGCTTTACTGTCCATACCCCATGAAGAGGATGAACTATCACTAGACGCCAAGGGCTCCGGTCCTTGTGGTCTGGTTCCACGTTGTCTGCTACCCTGGCCCTTCTAGAACATCAATGCCGCCAAGTCCAGCTTCCTCCCAGAGGATGAGAAGGAGGAGCTCCTCAACCAGCTCTACAAAGCCTACGGGATGCCACTGCCGCCAGCCGCTGCTGGTATGTTTTCATCTGGGCTCTAGTGGGCTCCCTGTCCTGTCACCTGCTGGGCTTCCTGTGTGACTTCAAGCAAGAGCCCTTCTCCCGGGCAGCGCCAAGGACATGCGATGCCTGCTTGGCTCCTGGGCCTGACTGTGGTAGCCCCTCATCAGCTCAGCTTATATTCTGTGTAGCTGCTGTCGGGAGAGGCTGGCTGAAGGCAAGACTTTCTGAGGGCCAGTCTCAGCCCTCCAGGCATCCCCATGGCTGCCCAAAGCCAAGGGCAGGGAGCTGGACCAGATCCTGGCCTTTTCTGCTACTTCCTTCCTGTGTGGCCTTGGCAAGACATTACCTTGCTCTAAGCCTCAGATTCGCCGTCTGCAGTTCTTTTCTGGTGTTGGAGTTACGATTTTTACAGTGTCCTGGTGGGGAGGGGGTTACTGTGAGTTGCCTGATCTTTCTGCTTCTCTGACCTGACCAGCAGGGCAGGACCCCTGAAGATGGCATGGCCTCCTCTGAGCCCTCACCCCACGGATGGAGCCTGCACAACTCTGTGGGATCAAGTGACACTTAACCTGAATTCCCTCCTCAAGACTAAGACTTTAGGAGTTAGCTACTGTTGTGTATCACACGCACAAACCTGGGAATGGCCACTTCTCACCTCTGATTGTGTATCCTTCCCAGGGACTAGAGCCCTTGTCAAGGGTGACCGTGAATCTGAGGCCCCCTGTCCTCAGATGACTCGTGCTGAAAATCTGGTGCTCAATAAAGCTGCCAGTGGCTGGCACTGTATAGCCTGTGGTGTGCAATATTTCAGTCTTGGCTGGTTGACCTGCATGAAGTGAGAACGGCAGGAGACCCTAGGGCTCCCACATCTATTCAACAGCAGGGCCAAGAGCCCAGTGCAGGCTGGGAATGGACAGCTGGAGCTCCCTAGCTGGGGCTGAGAACGCAGGGCCTCTTCCTCAAGGAGAAATGAGGTTTCTCCAGAGGGGCTGTCCTCTTAGATGCTCCCTGCACTCTTGGCTCCTCTATTCTGGGTCTTCAGGCAAAAACCTTCCTTTTAGGCTCTCCAAAGAGCTGGCTGGGTGAGACAGTGAATGGGAAGAGGGCTCATCGCATGCTAGAAGCAGTAGCAGCCTAGGAACCCCGGCCTATGCTCAGCAGCTCATGAAAGCCAGAGCAGGTGACACAGCCCAGCTGACTGCACTGGAGAAACAATGTTCAGCTCCCGCTCTCACTATTTAAAGGAGAAATAATCTTAAACGAGTCACACAAATCATCAGCATTTATTTCCTGGGGCCTAAGTCACTTATCTTGGTAAAAAGGGCAAAAAATCACGGTTAGTTTTCAGCCCAAATTCTTCCCTACCAATGGGTCTGTGAAGCTCCATGAGGGAACCTCAGAGCTGCATAGATGGTCAGAGTTGAGCTTAAAATGGCTTTCCTAAAAAAACAAAAAGTGAATTATCAGCGCCCTCCCTCTCTGCTGAAAAAAGGTTTAAAGTTTTTAAAAAGTTTAAAAGTGTTTTTTTTAAAAAAGGGGTGAGAAGGTCTTGACCTGGAAGGCTGGGGATGGGAAAGGAGGGGCCGTGCTGGGACGCGGTCCCTGTGCAGGTGGCCCACAAGAGGAGTATCCCCTGTGGGTGCTCGCCTGGTAGGCAGGGCCCAGCCTGAGCCCTGCGCCAGCTGAATAAATAACATCCCGTGCTTACAGTGTCTTCAAAGTGTACCTGGGCGCGGAGAGACGGTAGTGGGAACGTGGAGCTTGTGGGTGTGGGCAGAGGACTTCCCAGATTAGGGGCCACAGAGGCCTCTCACACATGGGTTCAGAAAAGACGCTGCTGGGCTTGTGCCTGGGTTCCCATTCTGGGGCGGGGGCAACAGGTCTCTCTTCCGGCCTCCAGGACAAGGTCAGACTCAAGATGAGGTTGTCCCACTGCTGCTCTCGGGCTGGCTGCTGGCTTCTTTGCTCGTGGTGCTTGCCTCTGCCTGTCCTTCTAGAGAGGAAAGAAAGAAGGATGGTTGGTTGGTTGGGTCTTTTAAGACAGGTCTTGCGGTGTAGCCCAGTATCTGAACTTATAATCCTCCTGCCTCAGCCTCCCAAGTGCTGGGATTATAGGCATGTATTGCCTCTCCTGGCTAGGTGTGGTTTTTCTTGGGCACATTTCTACTTATACACAAACGCAAAGCAGAAAAATGGGCGTGGAAGGCGCCAGCCAAACTGTAGCAGTGGCTTAGTGCTGGGGAATAGAACAGGAAATAGCCACTGGGGAAATAGCCACTGGGGAATAGCACAGGAACTGCAATAGGGGTGGTATGGCCAAAGGGAACTCTGGCTTGGTGTATCATAGCTTACGTGTTACCATGGGAATGCATGCAGTGATACTGGCACAAATAAAAGTCAGCTAAAAGCCAGGACTGTGGGTAGGTGCTAAAAGCAAGAGGTGAAGGATGTTGAAGAAGACTATGAAAGTTCCTTAGAGGGAGAGAGCAAACATTAAGGTCCCAGCGAGAAGCAGGTCCTCAGTGAATAGCAGTTGTTCTTAGAAAAAGGAACCAGACCAACTTAGGAGTGCCGGGTGGGACCTGATCAGACCCTGTGGGTGCCACGGGCACACGGTGCGTGTGTGTGTGCGCGTGTGTGTATGCATGCGGAGAGCCTAGACCAGTACAGTGCTGCAATCTCCACCTCTCCCAACCTCACTCTGCAGGAAACCTGGGCATCTTCCATGCTGTGCCCACGACACTGGGCTTGTGGGCAGCTCCGTCAGTGGTGTTTGTAGTGCTTTGGGGGTTGGTATATGTTTGCAATACACAGTAATTACATTCGTCTTGGGGAACTGGTACATGCACACACCGCATCTTAATTGTTTTTACCCCCCAACCCTCCCCTTCTCCCCTCTCGCCCCATCTCAAGACCCCTTCCTACCTCCTGCTCTACCTCCCAGTTTCCTGTCGTCTCTTTTATGTTTTGCTCTTTATTTATATATTGGGTTTTCATATAAGAGAAACCATGCAATATTTAAGCTTCTGCGTCTGATTTCACTTAGCACTATGGTCCAAGATCCATCCACTTTCCTATGAATGACTCAAATTCACCCTTCATGGCTGAGCAGCACTCCACTGTGTAATGCCGCATTTTCCTTGTATCCACTCATCCGCTGCTGGACACGCAGGCTGCTTCCAAGATTTAACTGTTATGAGTTGTGCTTCTATACACATGGGTATGCGTGTACCACCATGGTATGATGTCTCTAGCTCTTTTGGGAAGACAGCTAACAGGGTCAACAGCTGGGTCAAATGGAATTTCTAGTTTTAGTTTTCTGGAGTTTCTATACTGATTTGCACAGGGGTTGCACTATGTAGTCTACACTCCTGTCAACAACGTAGAAGGGTTCCTTTTCCCCAGCACCCTCGCCGGCCGCCCAGAATTTGTTTCTGTGCTTATAATGGTAACTGATCTTTAGTGGTGCAGTTCTTAAACTCCAAAGACACTATGTGGTATCACCAGGTGCCCTATAAGCCATTTAGGGCTGCACGCAAATTCAGTCTCTATCAGGCCACACTCCACCACTTGGCCTCCGTCTTTAGCTTGTGGAGGCTAAGCCCTTCTGATCAAGGAGAACTACCACACCATAGAGCTCCAGGGCCATGGACTGAGGGCATTTTCTATACAACTCACATAGCAACCTGGAGGTACAATTAGGAAAACCACACTCATCTGCCTGACATCAAAAGGTGGAAAAAGCGTGCTTGGTGCCAAAGCCAGTCCTCCTCCCACTAGCTTTGCCTTCTTCCAGTGAGCAGTATCATCTAGTGCAATGATGGTGAACCTTTCAGAGCTTTCAGTGATATAAGCGGCCCGCTGGGGCACGTGCGCCATAGGTTTGCCTCCACTGTCTAGTGTTTGCAGAGGACAGCATCGACACTACCTCACAGTGCCCTTCCAGCAGTCCGAGCGCATGGGTGCCTGAGAGTGTTGTGGGAAGATCGTGGGGGTCAGACTTTCAACTATGAGCCTATGAAGAAGCCTGAGCAGACCGTCCTTTGGGGAATGGATTATTTGGCCCAATCCTCCTGCCCCAGCCGGCGGGAATATTCTCTCTAAATTCCCTAGTAATCTCTGCTCTGCTACTTGCTTCCTATGGAGACCTCTGGCAAGTCATTTAATCTCTGAGCTCTGCTCCCGGACCTATAAAGGAGGATAGTGACGATGGTGACACCTGCACAGACCGTTAGGTGGCACATGGGAACGTTCAGCCAACATAACACTTCCTGGCCCACCAGCACCCCTGGGACTCCCTCCAATCCAGCTGCAGTGCAGCATTAGAAAACGTTCCTCCAGGTGCACGAGCACTCACAGCTCTCTGCCTGGCCTGTTTCTCTCATTATTAGGCAAAGTAAGGAAATATCTGAGCTCCCTACATAAGCAAATACCGAGGAAGAGAAATGTGTGCACACAGAGCGCTGGGAAAGAATGCCGAACATGAGCAGGCCACAGAGGTGGGGCGACCGGGCAGCCAGGCCCCCCAGCAGGCAAGGACTGTGGCTCCCCTTCGTGCCCTGCTGCCCATCAGTCTCTCAGAAGCTGAAAGCAGAGAGGCTCCCTTGGGCCAGAAACCCTACGGTAGTGCTTAAAGCTCTGCCTTCTGCCACAGGGAGCCCGCTGGACTGAGCCCTGCCCAGACACTGCGCACTGTGAGCCGTGAGCACCCGAAGGCCTCGGACCAGGTGCTCTTGCCTGGCCTCCACCACGAGTGCTTCATGTCCTTGCAGACACCCCTCTGCCCTCCAGTCTCCTTATATGTCAGTCACCTTGCAGGCACCTCCAGTCACCTGCAGCACCTGGACATTTCAAGGATTCTGAGTCAGAGGCAACAAACAGTAGAGAAAGGCCTGGGTACAGGGACAAGCAGCTACAACAGCTTTGGAAGAGGGGACAAAAAGTTTACCAGAGCAGAGGGAAGGACACAGAAGCCTTGAGAGAGCCCCTGGCAGCATGCCCAGTCAGAGCAGCTGCATACGCTGCTCACAGAGTCAGGCAGTGAAAAGCTACAGAGGAGGCACCCCTGTCATGTGCCACCTGCTGCCAGGAGCTGAGGGCACAGCACAGTGCCTGTGCGGGCACGCTCCGGCTACAGGGGCTCTACGCTAACAGGACCATGGCAGTGGCTGGGGGAAGAGGAGCCCCTCTCTGCCTATGAAGGCTGAGGTTGGGGGCTCTCAGCAGAGCAGGGGTCTGCTACAGTGAGAAGCAGTCTGCTGAGCAGTGCAGGAACAAAGAACTGGAAGCGCGTGCAGGTATCATGTCTTATCAAGGGTTTGTGGGAACCAGCAGCACTTTAGTTCAGCTGGTAAGAGGGTACCTGGGGAGGAAGTCAGTGCTGAGGCTGGACAGGGGAACAGGGTATGATCCAAGGAGGCACCCATACCGGGGCAAGGAATTTGGGCCATACCACAAGGGAAGGCTGACAGACCCTCAAACAGGAAGGCCTGGGTGGGGTTCTAAGAGCGAGTGTCAGAGGCTTGCTCTCTCTCAGAATAAATATGGCCATACTAACCACGGTCATTTGCTGGGTGACCCTGAGCAAGCCAACTCAGTCCGCCCATCTATACACCAAAGGACTGGGTCCCTGCTGCTCCCAAAAGTCTACTCTGTCCTGCCATCACAGGTCACTTCTGTGCAGCAAGGACCAAGAGCTCCAGACTGGGGCTACCAGAGAGGGACAAAGCTATGGCTCTCCAAAGATGCCCCAGGAGGACGGAGAGCCTGAAGCTGCAGGGCACTGTGGGAAGTGGTGTGACAGTCACGACCTCCGTGGTGCCATGGAAAGCCAGGCAGGGTTCGGAAAGACTTCCCAGAAGAAGGGCCAGGGCTGACCAGTGGATCTGAAGCGAGCAGGGCCCTCTAGGAGGCCAGAGGGAGAATTGGAGGAGCAGGAATGTCCCCTAGGCCTTCGTACCTGCTACGTGCAGGCAGACAAGAAGGTTCTGCTCTCCCGGAGCTCCCAGTCAAACAAGCAACACCTTGTCTAGGAGTCACTTTCCTGGGGAAGGACGCTTGAGCTATCTGGGGAGATCCGCCAGGGAACCCGCTAGCTGAGCTCAAGCCTGAGAGTGAGGGGACTGCAGCCCCAGCACCGGAGGGCATTCTAACCAGAGGAAAAAGCAAAGCTAAAGGTGCTCACAGCGAAGACCTGAACCCTGGCTGAGAAACCAAAGGTCTTACGGGGGTGCGGCATGGTGTTGGGCAGGATCCAAGTGACATGGCCGCAGTGGGCTGCCGTGAAGAGCCCGGCTTTGCTGTGCTGGGATGCCCCTGGGAGATGTTCTGGCAGGACAGCGTAGGACGGCTGCTGGAGAGCGCAGGGGGAGGGCAGGAGTGGCTGGCCAGGTAGTAGCTGAGAGAAGCAGGCGAAGCTGGGCTACATTTTGGAGGAGAGCCAACGGGACTTATGGGTGGACTAGGGGTGGGGGAGGGCCCTGGATGCCCAGCCAGAGTCTCAGGGCCTGGGATGCTGGCATCCCCAACTAGCGTTGGCTGGACTCTGCCACTGACCGAGAGCCAGGTGCCATTTGCATGCAGCTGCTTCTCTGAGGAAGTGTGCGCAATCTAGGACTCGGAGACCAGCCCAGAGCTGGCAGAGGGCTTCTGGCATTCGAGGTCACCGATGCACACTGGCTCTTACCTGCCCCCTCGAGGGCCAGCTCGCCCATGTCTCCAGCCAGCTTCCGCACACTCACGGCCTCCGAGTCACCCTGGATGTCAGGGACTGCGTTCCGACGGCCCGTCCGGTCACAGGAGATGAAGTCCGAGTAGGAGGACTCGACCTCCATCATGCCCGTCGCATTGCTCTCAGGCCTGTGGAGACAGGAGGGCAGAGGTGAGGCACTGATGTCTTCCGACAAAATGACACATACTCCCCTTTACACCGAAGACAGAGTAGGAAGCATAAAGACATCATAATTCTACACCCAGACAACAATTCTACACCATCAACATCGTCGAGTACCGACATTCAGTCTTCATTCTAAGATTACAGATAAATACAACTTGTTTATCGACATCACGCACCAAGCGCTGGCGAGGTGTGGCAGATGTAGCAATGAAGGAGCCAGCCTGGGTCCCCGCCCACACAGAGCTTGCAGTCCAGGCAATGCCTCCTTGGCTCACACCCCAACCCCTCCCCGGCAGCAACACTCACTTCCTCCCCAGGCGCCCTCTTACCCAGCCACAGAACTTACAGGCTGGAGGCTGCATCAAACTACCAAGTACCTAAGCACTTAGTAGGGCTTCAAGGGAGAATACAGGGTTTTGGAGTGACTGCCAGGATCTGACCCAGCCCAGGGTCCGGAAGTGACATTTGACCTGAGAACCAAAGATGGCTAGGCATTATGCAGATGAAGAGTGAGGGGAAGAGCATCACGAGAGGAGGGGACAGCGGGCGTGGTGGTACACACCTAGCATAACTCAGCCCCTGGGAGGCTAAGGCAGGAGGACTGCCGTGAGTTCAAGGGCTACACAGCGAGACCCTGTCTCCTAAAAAAAAAGAGTGGGAACAACAAGAACAAGAAGTGGGAGCAGCACATGGAGGTTCTGAGGAAGGCGGCATGACGGGCTGGAATATAGCAGGAGAGCACAGGCTGTCCAAGGACACCGCTGGGGTGGGCAAGGCCAGGCCATATCTGACTGCCGGACGCCGAGGGGGTTTCAGGGCAGGTCATGCTTGACCAGCTGTGTACTTTCAAAGCTGGCAAGGGTGTGTGGGTGGAGCTGGGAGGGGAAAGGAGTAAGTCGGGAGGCTCCTGCGGAGTTTGGCTGCAGGAGGACAGCAGTGCTGAGACGCAGAGATTTAATCTGGAGGGGAGATCAACAGGCCTGTGTTGGACTGATGGGAAATCTAGGTTTCTGACACAAGTAAGTACAAGCGGAGAAGTCTGGCTTCCTGAAACCAGGACCAGGAAGAGAGTATTAGGGAAGGAAGGTAGCGGGGAAATTAGGAGGTCTAGTCGGCCATGCTAACTCTGAATTGCTTGTGGGCCTCCAAAGGCAGCGGCAGAATAGGCACATGGACCAAACAGGCTGGACCTCAGGAGAGAGACGGCGAGCAAAGTTATGAAATTAGAAACTATGACGTCCAGGTAGTGGTTAACAGCCTTGGTGGTTGATAATACAGCCTAGAGAGGGAACAGAAGAGAAATGCATAAACAAAAAGGAGCCAGATAATCTAAGAATTATTGGGAGGGCTGGGGATATAGTTCAGTGGTACAGTGCTTGCCTAGCATAAGGCTCTGGGTTCCATTCCCACTGTAAGGAAAAAACAAATTATGTGTTTTATAGCCTACTCTCTGCTGCAAAGATCTTGCCCTTCTCTGGGCCTCAGGTTCCCCAAAATCAAGATGGGGCCACAACTCGGTGAGAGGCAATTCTCCCTAGTTCCAGCAGATGGCGCATACTGCCCATCTTTCTTCTTTCTTAGTTGCCTTCTCCAGAGCCATTGCCCTGGTAAGTGCTCTGGCTTCCTTCTGCTGGTCAGTTTTACCCACCTCTGAAGAAACTGCTCAAAGCTTCAGGACAGGGGAATGGCCTGTTACAATAACGCAATAGCAGCAGCAATCACAATTCATAACGACAATGCCAACGGTAAGAGAAAAAGTACCATTCATCAGGTGCTCATGTTATATACACATCACTTACTTAATGGTCACCACGGCCCTCTGAGGTAGGCCCCTAACTGTGACTCAGAAAGGTCTCAGCAGGCCTGTGGCTCGCAGGCCCAGGCTTTTCCTCCACATCATACCTGCTGCCCACGGGAAGGGTCAGACCCTGAGCAGATTATACAGCCTGTTTCCTCAGCCCTTTTCCTCCAATTAGAATATCAGTCCCACAAGAACAGGGATTTTTCTGGGGTGGGGTACGGATTTTTACCAAATCAAAGTGAAGGGCTTAATCCTGACAGCTGAGCTAACAAACACAGGGTGCTCTGCACCCAGACTCTCCAAACAATGCCTGGTAAAGAACAGGCACCCCATAAATACCCTTTGGATTAAATTTCTATCTCTCCATCCTCAACTCCCACCACCTCTCTGTGGGGATGATGGGGCCACTCCTCCTCAGGAGTGCTAGAAAAGGCCTCCGTCCACCACAGAGCGCTGCACGGCTGTTGCAGCCTGCTATCTCCAGGATCTGACCGTGGGATGGAGTTACAGCTCATCTGACAGGCTAGCCTCGCACTGGAACAGACCCCGGGCTCCAACTTGGCCCTCGCCCTGTCTGACCTCACAAGCTGCCTGGGCAGAAAGCCACCCTCTGGCACACAGTGGGACCAGGGCGAGCTCCAAGCCCAATCCTGGAGACCCGGAGCAGCCAGCACGCACTGGTGTCCCTCCCTGCACCTGGGCACACACCGGTTCCAAGCCTGGGTCTGAGCGGCTCTCCAGCCCAGAGCGCACACATCGTCCCGCTGCGGCCACACACAGATTTTTCCTCACTCACTGTCTGTGCTGTACAGTCAGCAGCAAGTCAGAAAGTAAAAGAACCATCAGAGTTGAAAACTGTGCCCCAAAATGGTCACTCTCAAACCCTGTTACTGACATATAAACTGCCAGGACCTCTCTGGGGAGTGGCTTATTGATGTGTATCAAGAAACTTTAACTTTTAATATCCCTGAGCCACTAAGTCAGTTTATAATAAGTTATTCTAAGGAAGGTGGATGAAGATAAATGTACAAAGATGTTCATCACAGCATTAATAAAACTAGCAAAAGCTGAAGACAGCAAAATGAGTTCTTAAATGGACACGTCACATGCCCTAAGTGGGTATAGAGAACTATATGGAGATATAACTAACTTGTACCAAGTGAAATACCATTCAAGAATTAATGTTTGTAAATATTTTTAAAGACAGGAAAATGTTCACATATATTATTAAATGAAAAAAGATCTCAAGCATACCATTATATGCATATATATTTAAAGTGACAAAATTTTTTTGTTGTTGTTCTTTTGAGATAGGGTCTCCCTACATAATTTAGGATGGCCTTGAACTCACTATGTAGGCCAGGCTGGCCTCAAACTCATGGCAATCCTCCTGCCTCAGCCTCTGGAATGCTGGGATTACAGGCATGTGCCACCATGCCCTGCTAAATTATTATTTTCTAAACTTTTTACAAGGGCCAGGGATATAGCTCAGCGGCATAAGCACTTGCCTGGCAAGCCTGAGGTCATGAGTTTGATTCCCGGTACCAAAAAAAATAAAATAAAATAAGCTTTTTACAGTGAAAGCATTTATGTTATTTATTTATGGTATTTATTTTCCCCAGACAGAACCCAGGGGCTGTGCATGCTAGGCAGGTGCTCTACCACTGAGCCACACTCCCGTCGGTCAGTTGTTTAATTTTTGAGTACATGTGCACAAGGCGTAAAACTCAAGAGAGACAAAAGACACAAGCACTCAGTCTTCTCACCACCCCCCAACACACTCCCTTCTGTGCTTCCAGAGGTAGTCTATGGAACATAGACATTCCCTCCCTCCCATTTGCTTTTATTAAAAAAAAATATATTTTCTACCTTACTTTCTTCATTTAAAAAAAATACCTTGAAACCACTCACAGTGATTATATCAAAACACTGGAAATAAAACCAATGTCCACATAAACTTAAATTTTTCTTTTTATCAGCTGCATGATATTCTATTGTCTCACCACTGTAAAATGATTTAATTACTTCCTTATTGATGAATTTTGGGATTGTGTCCATAAAAGTAAAATTACAATTGATGTGGTGATGCATGTCTATACCCTTAGCACTCTGGGAGGCTGAGGCAGGAAGATCACAAGTTTGAACCCAGCTCAGGTAATTTAGCAACTTAGTGAGACCCTGTTTCAAAATTTAAAAGGGGGTGGGGGATGTGGCTCAGTGTGAAGGTCCTGAGTCCAATCCCCAGTACCACCAAGAAAAAAAGGTAAAATTGGCACATCAAAGGATCGGTGATTTTTTTTTTTTATTGTGGTAAAGTATTGTTGAATTTTCCTCCACAGAAGTTTTTGAATTTCTCTCAGTCCATTTTGTGATGCTAAGACAAAGTATCTGACACTAGGTAATTTGCAAAGAACAGAAATTCCTTTCCTACAGTTCAGGAAGTTGGGAAGTCAAAGATCCAGGTCTGCTCAGGGCTTCCCTCCGCCCCCACCCCCACCCCCACCATGTGGGAGGCAGGAGCAAGGATGGGCGGGTCCTCAGTCAGCCTCTTTGTTATTAGTACACACTTGGGGTACATAACAAAGATGTTCACTGTGGGCAGCTGGTACATGTATATGACACCTCTTCATTCTTTTTCATAAGAGCATGTGATTACCTCTTACAGACGCTGCCCCTTGAATACTATTGCTCCGGCAACACCTGAATTTGGGAAGGCCACCTTCAAACCATGGCTATTCCCCTTAGGTATGTATGAGGAGCACAGTGTTTCACTATTATTCTTACCAATGCCAATGTGCTTGTAATCTAAAAGGTGAAAAACAGCAGCTAGTTGTTTCAGTTTGTATTGCTGTGACCAAAGCAGAACATGAAGAATGTGCATTTCCTTTTCTGTTTCTTTATATATATATACACATTATGTGTGTATATATATATATATAAACATATATAATATATATTATATTTATATATTATTTATATTATATATTTTATGTATTTTTTTTTAGTTTGTTTTTTTTTTTGTTCCAGGAAACAAACTCAGGACCTCATACTTGCCAGGCAGGCGCTGTGCTGCTGAGCTATCTCCCTAGCCCTTTATATAAATAGACAGATACAGCTATAGATATAGGTACAGATATAGGTACAGATATAGATATAGACAGA